ATATATATATGTATATATATATGTATATATATATATACCACATTATGAAATGGACAAAGTCCGACAATTATTTTAAGACATTTCTTTATGTTTATACGGTCTTTTTTATAGATACAAATATTTAAGTAAATCCTTTCTTTATAATAAACAGTATTAACGACGAATCGAACCTGTATCCTATACGGAACCGTCCTATAGCCTGAAGTTCTTTTACCGATTGAGCGACAGAGGGGCATTTCGGTTAGCAAGGTTGATTTTACTGTTTTTAAACTACAATTCTCCATGATTTTCTCTCGTACATTCATATCTGTTCGATGTATATCCAAATGTAAACAAATGACGTCATACATTATGAAATGGACAATTATTTTAAGACATTTTTATGTTTATAGATTCTTTTTTTTATAGATACAAATATTTAAGTAAATGCTCTGTTTAAAATAAACAGTATTAATGATATATACCGGCCTGAATATCCAAGAAACTTTCATAGAAAATATGCTAACCGAAACGCTCCCCGGTAAAAGCACGTCAGGCTATAAGACGGTTCCGTGTAGGATACAGGTTCGATTCCTGTCGGAGGACGTATATTTTCTATGAAAATTTTTCCGGTAAATGTCATTAATACTGTTTCTTATAAACGGAGCATTTACTTAAATATTTGTATCTATAAAAAAACTTATAAACATAAAAATATCTTAATATATATATATATATATATATATATAACCTCTCTCTCTCTGTCTGTCTGTCTGTCTGTCTGTCTCTCTCTCTCTCTCTCTCTCTCTCTCTCTCTCTCTCTCTCTCTCTATATATATATATATATATATATATATATATGTAATGGACCCTCCCGTCGGTTTCTACGTATGAAGATCTGACAGCTTATTGATTCAGTTATGAAAGTTTGTGCGATAATCTTAAGTGGCATTTAAGACCCGCTAGTGATTTACAAAGGAGGCCACATATGGAGCAAATGTGAGCATTGTGAGATGAGATCACGGTTAGATGGGTTGACCTTTTAGATCTTGCTCTCGCTTCTTGAAGATGATATATAGATATCGTCTTCATATATATATAAATATATATATTTATTTATATATATATATATATATATATATATATATATATATATATATATATATATATAATTCTATCTTTGTTTACATAAATGCTACTTCTGTCATAAATAATATAAAACGTGATTACAATGACGAACGATAGAATGATCTAAATGAAGAATATGATCGCTAATTATAGATTTTAAGTAAAATGCTTTGAATATTAGAGCTTTCTGTGTATGGATGATTAGAACAGACGTTGTTAAAACGAATGATTATTGTCTCGTCAATGAAGTCTGAGAAGGTCTCTGTTTTATGCAGGATATCGATTTTGGTTTAATGAGGATAGGCGACTTCAGCAAACAAATACCTGATGAGTTTAGGTCACTTGTATTCCCAAGGGTGGGGAAGATAGAATTTAAATGTCAGATTTCATCTATATATAAAAAAAAATTAAAGTAAAAGTCTAAACAATTTTGACTCGGCTTATCATGCTTTCGATTGGGAATTCGTGGTGCTGAGCCAACAAAATACTTGCCCAACCCAGGAATAAGGAGTTAGGTATCAGAGTGGGCAGTGGTTTCGACTAAATGCGTATAAATGATTCACCCGAATACGTACAAGCCGATAAGGATAAAAGAAATGGTATTAAAATTCTTTTCACTTTGAATCTATTTACAGAATTTAGTTTTCAATTTCCAGCAATACCAAGAATGAATAAAAAAAAAACGAAACTGTATATACTATAAATAACAAAAAGAATATTTTATCTCTATCTATAAAATGCAGGATGTGTGTGTGTGTAAAAATGCACGGCCGCAATTTTCGACGGATTTGCACCAAAATTTACATGCACATGCTCCAAGTTAGCGCGAAGGCCAAGACCGACTTTGCATTTCCCAACTCCCATCGATAGTGGAAATAATCAATTTTTTCATACTTCTACGGCAGTTTTCATGTAGTTTGTGCCCATTTTGTACTGGCCAGAGGTAGAGCCAATAGCTGGCTGCCACGAATAAGCAGGAAGATTCTAATGGCCAGTGTGAGAGCCAACAGCTGACTGATACGAATGTTAACTAGCATGCAAAAATTCTATAGCTGCATTCGTCACAAGTAGGAAAAATTTAAATCTGCATGGCACTTTATTCCAATTGGCTCATTCGCTTGCTTAAACTCAACGTTGATTCTGATTCCGCAGAACTGGGTTGGGTGTGAAAAAGTATTTGTTGTTAACATTCTTTTTCATTCGGTTTTTCCAGTTACGAGTCCTTTTTTAAAGCTGATCGTTTTGTGTTTATTTTGTTTAGTTCTTTTTTTTGTAACAGATTTAATGTTTAGTATAGAGCTTAGAAAAAAATAGCAGTGTGAGATAGGCAAGAAATAAGGCATGTAGCAACATCAGCACGGCAAAGGGCATTCCTTTAAAGGCAAGGAAGGGCAAAAATATTTTAAGTCAAGTAATAGCGATTGCTGTATGAGTCGTACGATTTTTGAATCAAGCACGGGCAACGCCGAGCCATGCTGCTAGTGTATTAATAATCCAAACTGGAAACAGATTTTACCAAAGTGTATGAAAAGGTTATAAATAAATGATTTAAGAAGGAAGCATCGCAAAAAAACACGACTATGGATCAGCCGCATTTGGACAGAGGAGACATAGTGGAGTAATGGTTAACGGCTCGGATTGAGGAATTGGAGTTCGAATTCTAGCCGTACTAATGCTATTCCAGTCGTAATAATGCTTACATACTAATGGTCTTCTTCTCCCGCCAGTTAGGGATAAATAGCTGGTGGGAGAAGAACATACTGGGTTTCCTTGGATGGTAACTGGTCTACCGCAGATAGAAATGGCAACCTACTGCGGGTGAAAAAAAATCTGCCTCGTCAGTCATGTATCGAAAAATACGGCTCATTTCTTGGTGAATTTCATCTTAACATCAAAACACTGATAAGACAATTGGAAATGATCAGTATTTTATTGAGAACCTCGAGATGAACAGCGGGGAACCAGACCATATATGGCAACAGTATTCAATGCAAGGACAAATGGTAGATGTGTAGATTTGAAGGATGAACCTCCTGGCACGACACAGAGAACGAACTCTCCTTGCGGTAGATGAAATAAAATCTTTCTCCACAGGGGGTGGTATATTGAAGTGCGTATAGTATATACAAAAACAAAGCAACAACATGTGTATATATTTTATCGTCTGTTTAACTGATGCAGTTGACGTCCCTTTGAATTGCTTCCAATTTCAATTCCAACAAGCTAAAAACGCCATAATTTAGTCAATAATTCTTGCCTACAATACTGATAACACCCAGTCCTTGACAATGACCGTGATAACGGAAAATACTTGAATATAACGGAATAGAATGAACTTTGAAACGTTTATTCACGAATTCAGTCCTGATGTATAAAACCTCATTTTTTTATTTTCTACGTCTTAAAATTCACATTCGGGAACTGGAAAAATATAATTAAATATTGAATAGACAGACTTTACACACACACACACACACTCATATATATATATATATATATATATATATATATATATATATATATATATATAAAAGTGAACATTGAAGTCAACACTTAGATGTGACAGGCTGTTTCATGCTAGACGCAATCGTTAGGCACTTTTTATATTTACACACGCTCTATCTCTGATATTGAGCAATTTATCCCATAAATATTTGAGACTATATTGCTTCATATATATATATATATATATAACTATACTCGTTTCGAAAAACCCTCGGATTTTTGATTTGCCAATAATCAAATCAATCTCGAGGGAAAAAAGGTTTTAAAAAAAGAAAGAGCTAGAAACATGAAAGTCTGTCGAAAAAAATCGCACAGATACAGGTTTAAAGCCCAAAGAAAAAAAACCCGACATGAGAAAACAACTAACTAAAAATAGCTCAATACAACCGTAGAGCAGACCTAGATAAACCTAGTGAGCCAGGCAAACCTACCTAGGTTTCACCTAAACGGATCGTCAGGAATATATATATATATATATATATATATATATATATGTAAAATCCATCATATACACTTACGTGCTAATAACCTTGGGAAAGTTATGAACCCTCTTCTTCTCCCTGGGTTCTATAGCCTTGGATGGCAACTGATCTAGGTGAAGGACAACACTGAATTCAAAACCTGCGGGGGTCGTTTGGGAACCTTGTGTCACTTAGTGTACCAATGTCTCTGCATTTTGTTGAGGTTTCTTCTAGACTCGATGAATTAACTAATTATAATTATCTCAAATCCTCTTAATTTCAATCACACACACGCACACGCACACACACATACACACACACACACACATATATATATATATATATATATATATATATATATATATATATGATTAATGTGAGTAAAATTTTGTCACTTAACTGATTGATGTAAACTTCTGCATCCCGACTAAAGAGTTTCAGAGGCTGGCCTGTTCGTCCTCACTTCAGGGGTATCATCTCTTTACTTTCCCTGCGGTAAATAGTTTTAATAATTAAGATAATCGTTATGTTGAAGAATAGCAGCATAAAGAAAAAATAAATTAACTTTCAGTGGGAAAACTCTTAATAATGACATTTTTCTGAATTCCAAAGTTTGAAATAATAGAAAAAAAAAGAAAAAGAGAAAGACGCTATTGACAAACAATAATGCCTTCTTTAATTTTTGTGGTAAATTTTTAATACTTGTAAAATATTAAATTTATTGAATTTAATATTTGACATTAACTTTGTGATCAATTCTTTCATAATTATTATTTTTCGTTAATTTCGCAATGAAAAACCTTATCTTTGTTCTTAATGTCTTGTATTTACGAATGCCAAAAATTTAACATTTTAAAAAAAACAATACTCGTTTGTTCTGTTAAAGATAAAAAGATGAATTTTTCATGAAAAAATAATTTTATAATTAATGTCGTCATTCTTGAAGAACAATAGCATAGAGGAAAATAGTAAATTATATTAACTTTTTATTTTTACGTCATAAAATTCTTAATGGCACTTGAAAATTTCGCGCCGAAAAGGTTTTGTTTAATGATAAAATATTGCAAGTCCAAATAAAATAAACATTACTTACTTCAGTATCTTGAACAATAAACTTAACTTAATCCAAAAGTAAACATTTCTTAAAAAAAAAAAAAAACTTTCTTCATCTAGTTACAGCAACGAACAATCGAGTGTTGACAGTTGGCCCCCAGTGCCTGAAGTGCTACTCTGGCTGCTAAGGAACGCCTTCAGATAAACCTATTCAAGTAGACGTAGGTATTTAGATATTAGCAGATCGTGACAGACAGACAGATAGATAGATAATGTACAAATTGAAATAGATAAACAGAACGACAGATAGATAGAAACAAAACTATGAACAGAATAATATATGCAAAATTTAGATATACCAACAGAATGAAACAGATTAAATAGATAATTAGATATGAAAAGATGGATAGATAGATATGAATACAGTGAAATTGATAAACAAAATGGCAGACATATAGATAGATCGATAATAGTATGAATAATAATAATAATCAAGAAGAAAACCTTAAAGATTCATTTCGGTGATAATTTATTTCGTGAGATCTATATATTCATCTCTTCAGACCGAAATCTCTTTGTAAATGGAAACATTACCCCGGAATGTCACCGACATTCCTTCTCCGTCTTGCGACACCAAACTGCTCTATCCCTACTAATCAAATGGGAAATCATCTCTCGTCTCAAACCCTCAAAAACCTCCAGGACAGATGCGGTATGTGTATACAAGAAAAAAAAATGCAATAATTAAATACCCAAATGCTAACCAGTTGTTAATTCAACCAAACGAACTGTTTTTTCAAGTGCAGGCATAAGAACAAATTTAAAAACCCCAATAGACGTTATTGCGGGGGAGGGGAGGGGGATGCAATTGTGAGGCGTTGGTTTGTTTATATGAGTAATAGCATATATGGGGATACATGCATTGGTATGTAAGTATTTTTGTATCTATATCTGTATGTGCGCATGCGTGCTGAGATTGCATATCACACAGTTTTGTGTTTTGTGCGTGTTTCTTCATATGTAGTTGGATCTTGCCGATGTATACAATATTTCTAATTCTAAATTAACACCTTTGGTATCATTATCCATGCATCATCTTACTCAGATTTTAGTTTTAGTTTTAGTTTTTAGTTTTAGTTTTCGAATTTAACTATTGTTATTTATCTGTATTTAAAAAAAACTTGACCATCCATCATTTTCTTCTTCTCCTCCTTCTCTTTTCTCTTCTCTCTTGCTTTCGCTTCCCCCATGTCTATCTAATATATCAGTCTGGGGTAATGTCTCCATTTACTAAAAGATTTCGGTCTGAAAAGATGAATATATTGATATTTATGATATATTGATATATATATATATATATATATATATATATATATATATATATATATATATATATATATATATATATATATTGTATCCTTAAAGAGGTTTTTCAAACAGACAAAGGTGGTAATCGATTGAAGGAAGGGGAGTAGGGTTTTATCCCATGCTTCCTGTATAGGATTGGGTTTCCGGTACATTCTCTTAAAGGCTTTTCAATTCTTTCACCACCAGTAAAGCCTTGCTTGGGACGAAATGATTAAATAAAAGAAAAATAGATAGATACATAAAAGTAGACTGAGATAGATAGATAGATAGATAGATAGATAGATAGATAGATAGATAGATAGATATGAATCGATTGAGATAGATAGATAGATAGATAGATAGAAAGAAAGAAAATGCACAAAATATAGGTATATACAGATAGATAGTGAACGGACTGCAATAGATCGATAGACGGATAATGAACAGATTGAGTTTAGAAAGAAAATTCAAACAATAAAATGTATATAGATAAAGATAGTGAACTGACTGAGACAAATAGGTAGATAGATATAAACCAACTTATATATATATATATATATATATATATATATATATATATATATATATAAATAAACATATAGATAGATAGATAGATAGATAGATAGATGAATAGATAGATAGATATAAACAAACATAGATAGATATAAAAACATAGATGGATAGATATAAACAAACAAACAAATAGATAGATAGATAGATAGATAGATAGATAGATAGATAGATAGATAGATAGATAGATAGATAGATAGGAAGACAGGCGGAAGAGAACGACTTCTATATAGGTGTGAACGAAGACTGCTGACGCGAGAGTTAAAAAGGACTGGGTATTAAAATGACATTCACTTCGATTGACAATGAAAATGCGTTGACAGATGCAAATATTAACATTAATATTTTTGCATCCTCCTCAATGAAAGTGTCTAAGGCGGCTGTCATTCAGATGACATGACGAGAATTTGTTCGGGAAATCCACTTCTGCCAGCCAACGTAAATGAACGGCAGTCATTATAAATCTCACCTCTCATTCCACACACACACACAAACACAATCACACACATACATACGCACATATATACAGGGTGTCCGTAAAGTTCGTGTGCACTTTAAAAAATTATAACTTTATTTGTATTTACGATAGAAATAATTTGTAAAAAGGATTAGAAAGAAGTAAATCTATATTCTTTAAGGTTTTATTGAAATTTTATTTAATTTTATAGATGCAACACTTTCGTCGCTGATACATGGCCTTCCAGACCGTGCCTTATCATGGACGGAGCCTGTCTTTTTAAATATTTTGATCCATTTAGCAATAGTGTTCCTATGAGGTGGTTCTTTATTGTATTCAATTCTAAACTTTCTTTGAACAGAAATAGTAGATTTCAGTTCAGACAACCAAAGGACACAGTTTACTTTTTACTCAGTTGAAGCCATGGATTAAATTGATTCTCGAAAAAAGAAAATATTTTTTTACTTATCTAAAAATTGTTACAAATTTTGTGGTAAAGAATTATTCAATAACTGTACTTAAAACTAGGTACATTAAACTTTATACCGTTTTTTACAGATTATTTCTATCGCAAATACAAATAAAGTTATAAATGTTTTAAAGTGCACACGAACTTTATGGACACCCTGTATAACAATTATTATTATAATATTTTATTATTTATAATAAAATACAAAGAAGAATCTGAAATGTTATCGGTCCTGTCTCCAGTCATTTTCCCATTGCCGTAATTTCAGACTCTTTATATAACTCTTATTATGTTTAGAAATTTCAGTTCTTTTCCGTAGATGACATAAGATAATATTAAATTTCGAGGTTGGGATTTTAGAGTTTTTTTAAGGTTTTATTGAAATTTTATTTAAGTTTCCACATGTCCTCCATTATTAGCAATATAAAGGGTAATACGATTTTGCAGTTCACGGAAAACATTTGCCAACTGATTTACAGTAATGCCTGAAATCACATTAGTTATTTTAGCTATACTTATTTTTTAATTTTATAATTTTTTTTATTTATCGTCGATGTACAACACTCATACTGTCTCGCTAAATTCATTAGTCGTATGTTTTCCTTATATTATATTTTTTTATAATTTCCTGCTTTACCTCAAGCGAAATCATGGGTTTCGGCTTTTTGCCTTTTCTTTCACACTTACTTTCTTCGGACACATAGTGTCACTCAAAAATTTTGTCAAATAACGGCAAAAAAAAAAAAACACAACACAACAGAGAACCTTCCAGAGCGTTGTAAATATGTGTACTGCGAGTGGAAATTACCCGCGAATCTTGGCGCTCGCTCCGCCAACTAGCGGATGCTTAATTAAAACTCACTTGTATCTCAAAATTCAGCCCTATCTCAAGGGAAATTTTCACTGATTATATATACAGGGTGTCCAGAAAGTTCGTGTGCACTTTAAAAAATTATAACTTTATTTGTATTTGCGATCGAAGTAATTTGTAAAAAGGATTAGAAAGAAGTAAATCTATATTTTTTAAGGTTTTATTGAAATTTTATTCAGGTTTCAACATGTCGATCATTAGCAATAGTAAGGGTAATACGATTTTGAAGTTCACGGAAAACATTTGCCAAATGATTTACAGTAATGCCTGAAATCACATTCGTTATTTTAGCTATACTTAAAACTAGGTACATTAAACTTTATAACATTTTTTACAGATTATTTCTATAGCAAATACAGTTATAATTTTTTTAAAGTGCACACGAACTCTATGGAAACCCTGTATATATATATATATATATATATATGTGTGTGTGTGTGTGTGTGTGTGTGTGTGCAACGGTAAAAGCGAATATGTGGAAATAGAAACTGTCATATATATATATGTGACGTCACCCCCGGCCTCTCTGCCCCCGTGCTATCCTGTGACAACCAATGTGACTTGGTATTGGTCGCGGCGCCAAATGTGACGTTCTAGCCCTTGGCTGATTCGGATGGGAATCTGGTTAGATTCGGCATCAGCTTTGTCGTCCCCAGCTCACCTCCAACGTCTGGTTACCGAAGTAACTGCTTTGACTTCTAGTCTAACCTACCCATGCTGTGATTTGATCTTAGGTAGACGAAATCAATCAGTCGCCGGGCCGCAATGCAAGCCGAGTCCGAGCAAAGGTAACACCGCACAAGTATATGTAAAAGAAAATAAAGTAACAACTCGAAAAGTTCAAATGTGTTAAAAAAAGAATAACAAATATTTTTATATCTGGTTGCTGAATACAGGACTGTGTCTTTCTCCCAACCCGCTAATCCGGATACGTGACACTGCGTTTGTTAGGCGAGTCTTAATATCTTAAATTGTTTTTCAATAACTGTTTTTTTTTTGTATCTTCAGGTGATATTCTTAAAACTTGTTTTGGTAGTGTGAGTCTAAGACGTTCTTCAAAAATAAATTGTTCTTGGTTAGAAGTCGAAGTCGGGATGCGTGGATATTTTCATTCAGCTTCCTGAGAGGCTGGTCTCAGAGCTCACAGCTCAACTCTGTCTGCGTCTGCGTCTCTCTCTCCAACTGCAACTAACTGCCGTCTACTCGCTGCGACTCTGTTTATATGGACGCTGACCAAAACCGGGTGTGGGCTTGGGGTTTGAGTTCCACGATAATTCTAAATCCACAATAAGGATTTTCTTTGTTTTCGAACAGGAAAATTTATCACTTTCCATTTTTGGAAGTCCATTACTTTCTGCTTAGAGTGGTTCTTAAGAGAATCGTCCTCCCAAATTCTTCCTTTCTCATATTGGTATCACACACCAATCTCCTCAGAGGGCGTCAACAGGTTTCCCTTCTCTCTCACAGTGGTATCTCACACTAATCCCCTCAGAGGCGTCAACAGACCTCCCCTCCTTCTCATATGTTTAACTTCGCCTACCGCTCACGTCACCATTCAGTCAATGAGCGCTCAGCAGCGTGGGTGTGTCTAAAGTGGCCTCAGTTTAAAAGTATCGCTCAAAGAAATAACAATTATCTTCTTTTTTTTCTTTTCTTCTTTTTTTTTACCAGACCCCTACGATCCTAGTGTGGTCCCTAATCTCTATCTTAACTGAATGTCATCTGGAATTCGTTAATGAGATTTTCGTCAAATAATCATCGGGGTTCGTGAATCTCTTTGTGTCCTTCGTACTTCCGTCGCCACAATCTGTCCAGGCAACAAACTCTTATCATGACCAGGTCTGAACATAAAACAGGTGTTTTTCCCAAAACCGAATGATATCTCCGAAGGATAGTTAATGGTTTATTCTTCCCTTCTTCTTGGGTGGCCTCAGCTGATTACTTTCACGGTCAGTACGTGACCTGATTACGATTATCTTACAGAATTCTGTTTTGTAGGCCACTTGGCCAATTTGAAATTTTCATTATTGCCATGGGCAGATGGCTATCTTTTATTCGCCGCCTCGTAGCATAAATTAATTCCGACAGATCCGAGATCTTACGAATTTCCTATCTTCTGCGAAAAAAAAAAAACTTTTCTTCGCAAATGAAAATAAAATCTTTACCACTTTTCTTTTGTTAAAAAAAAATAACATCGCTCAGTATGTCTTTTCGTGATAGCTTCTTATCGCCTTAATTATTTCTCGCTTTTAATTTTCAGGCGACCTCTAAATAGTGTCCCATATATATAATAATTTATTTGAAAATTATACCATAGATATGTTATAAAATCGCTGCAAAAATAGCCATTTTGTTATAACACTTCTATTGTCTCATTAAGTAATGGTATTGAATTCAACACCATCACTTGATGAAACACCAGAAGTGTTAAAACAAAATGGCTATTTTTGCAGTGATTTTATAACATATTTATGTTATAATTTTCGAATAAATAATTATATTTGCTCTACTCGGTATGAAGAAATATAGTCTTAAGGTGTGCTATATTTATGGGAAATAGTGCTCAATATCAGAGATAGAGCGTGTGTAAATATAAAAGTGAACATACAAGTCAACAATTAGAGGCAACCAGCTGTTTTATGCTACATGCAATTGTGGTCTGACGATTGCATCTGTCGCCTCTAAGTGTTGACTTCTATGTTCACTTTTATATATATATATATATATATATATATATATATATATATATATATATCACATTGTTCATATCTCGATATATCAATCTGTTCCTATCTATCTATCTATCTCTGTTCATATATATCTATCTTACTATGTCATCTATCTATCTATCTATCTATCTATCTATCTATGTTCATATATATCTATCTTACTATGTCATCTATCTATCTATCTATCTATCTATCTATCTATGTTCATATATATCTATCTTACTATGTCCTCTATCTATCTATCTATCTATCTATCTCTGTTCATATATATCTATCTTACTATGTCCTGTATCTATCTATATTAGTTTCTTCATATCAGCCCTAGTTTGCTCATATCTATATATCCCATCTTTCTCAATAAATAAAGATGAATTGCTTTCATTTAAATTGATCTTATACGCTATTATTTTATTGAATACGTTCAATGGAAAAAATCCATTTATTGTTCAGATCCTCTTATAAAATTTGATAAACCAATTATGCCGTTGTGCTTTATGACATTTCTCTGTCTCTTTCATTTGCCGACTCAAATTACGTTGGGTCTCGTTGGAGAGAGTGAGGCAATCCGAGAATATATATATATATATATATATATATATATATATATATATATATATATATATATATATATATATCCGATTCGATGAGAACGAAAGTAATATATAAATTCTAACATTCACAGCATTAATCCAAAAGAGGACTTGATACCGGTAGTAGAGTGATAATTATTTATTTATTATAATTATATCATATAGACAAAACCATTTTACTCACTACAATGATGCAACTTCGTTTCAGTGCATTTCAACTGCACTTCGACGGATGAAAATCGAAAATAGTTATGAACAATCTTGCTTTTGTGTCTGTGTGTGTGTGTGTGTGTCTGTCTGTGTTTATATATATATATACATATATGTGTGTGTGTGTGTGT